GAAAGAGTGGGTCTGAATATTGGAAGAAATGATGACTGAAAACTCCCCAAATTTGGTGAAAGACACAACCTAAGTTCCAAGAGACTGAGCAAACTCTACCAGGATAATTCCAGGGAAATTCATGCCAAGACACATACAGCAGCCTCCCTTATTCATGGGGGATGCATTCCAAGATCCCCAGTGTATGCCTGAAACTGCAAATATTACCAAACCTTATATATAACTATGTTTCTTCCTATGCACACATACCTATGTTTCCTTTATAAATTTGGCAATTTCACAGGTAGAAGATTCGCTCTTACTAGAGGTCTTAGCAACCTCAGCATATGATTTTTTTTCTTTCATTATTGAGTGGATAACCTTCACCTTTTCACCATTATTAAGTAAAATAAGGGTTACTTGAACACAAGCCCTACAATACCACGACAGTCAATCTTGATAACCAAGGTAGCTACTAAATGGTTAACAGGTGGGTCGAATGTGTAGCATAGATATGCTGGACAAATCGATGATTCACATCCCAGGTGGGATAGGCCAGGATGGCGGGAGATTTCATGACACTACTCGGAACAGCATGCAATTTAAAACTTGTGAATTATTTATTTGTGGAATTTTTCATTTACTATTGTTGGATAGTGATTGGCTGTGAGTAACTGAAACCTCAGAAAGTGAAACCACAAATAAGTAACTACTATAATCACATTCTGAAAGCTGAACATACACACATACACACAAAACAGCTAGGAAAACCAACAACATAGTACCTATTTAATTCTGATGACAGCAGATATCTCATTTGAAACCATAGATGCCAGAGTAAATGGCATGACATTTTTCAAGTGCTGAAAGAAAAACACTCCCAACACTAAATTCTATATCCAAAAAAGTGTTCTTTCAAGAAACACAGAAGAAATAGTGATATGTTCAGAAAAGCTAAGAGAATGTGTTGCTAATGAACCTATCCTTAATGAATGAAAAACGGAAGCTTCTTTACACAAAAAGGAAAAGATAACAGAGGACAACTTGGAATTTCAAAAAGGAAAGGAGAATGTCAAAATATGTAAAAAAAAAAAAAAGTAGGGGTAAATATGACAGATTAACTTTCATGAGTTTTTATAATATTTGATGACTGAAACAAAAAATCATAACAACATCTGATACTCAAGGCAATAATATTAAAAATTGGGGAAGGCAACGAGCCTGAAATAGAGGTAAGGTTCCCATACTTCACTCTAAGTGGCAATATCTTGAAATCAATAGACTGTGGTAATTCACAAATGCATATTTTAATATCCAGAGCAACAACTTTTTATACAGAGATACATTCAAGCACACTAAAAGTAAATTAACATGGAATCCCACAGAAATGTTCCGGTAACCCACAAAAAGGTGAGAAAAAAGAAACAGAGGAAAACCAGAAAACAAATGATAATGTCACATAACCTCAATTATATAAAACAATTGCCTAAATGTAAATTGGTGTAAATAGACCAATTAAAAAGGCAGACTGGTAGAGTGAATTAAAAAAAAAAAAACCCCCTGGCGAGTGTGTTCAGTGGTTAGAGCACTGGCCTGCACACGGAAGGGTCTCAGGTTTGATTCCCAATCAAGGGCATATATCCAGGTTACAGGTTTGATCTTTGGCCCCAGTTTGGGGCACATGTCAGAAGTAACCAATTGATGTGTCTCTCACATCGATGTCTCCTCCCCACCCCTTCTTCCCACTCTCTCCAAAAATCAATGGAAAAAAATATCGTTGGTGAGGATTAACAACAAGAAAACACACTAAAAACTTTCACAAGCCAACTACATGGTTTTTGAAGTGAGAAGAAACTCATTTCACATTTAATAACATAGATAACTTGAAAGAAAAATATTTTTATATAGTAACAGAATATGTAGAAACCAAAATGAAAAACACAAAATTATTTATAGTCATGCTAAAGAAAATGAAATTTTGTATATGCTTAACAAAACATATAAAGGATATGAATGCTGAAAATTACAAAATCTGAATAAAGAAATCAAAGAAGACCTAAATACATGATAAGACATAATATGTTCATGGATTAGAAGACACACTTAGTAAGGATGTAGTTCTCTCCAAATTGATCTATACATTTAATACTAGTGGCCAGGTGCATGAAATTCATGCACATTAAAAGGGGATTAATTGGAGAAAATATTTTAATATTGCTATTTGCCCTTTCTCTATAATAGAAGTGTCAGAGATGAAAGAAAATTAGTAAAATGTAGATGAAAATCACCCTCCCTCTCAGAATCTGGGGTATGCCATGGGACCTAGAGTCAAGTCTCTGCCCACCCATGGCACCTCAAAATTGCACAAGACCCAGACCCAGCCGGCCCCACCACCATTAGGTGAGATCCAGACCTGGCCGGCCCCAACCTTATCAAGCCCTGCTGGGTGGGGGGCACAGCCTGAGGTCTCTCAGCCCAGGCCAGGGCAGGGGCGCACCTTGAGGTCCCCCGTCAAGCCCCACTTGGTGGGGGAGGCAGCCTGAGATTTCCCATTAAGCCCTGCCAGGAGGGGGGCGCAGCCTCAGGTCCCCTGTCAAACCCCGCTGGGTGGGAGGGGCACAGTCTTAGGTCCCTTGGCCTGGTGCCAGGGTGGGGGGCATGGCCTGAGGCTCCCTGGCCCACCACCAGGGAAGGGGGCACACCTTGAGGTCCATCAAGCCCCGCCAGGTGGGGGGTGCAGTCTGAGGTCCCCCAGCCTGGCACCAGGGCGGGTGGCATGGCGGAGGTTCCCTGTCAAGCCCCACCGGGCAGGGGAGGGGTGCAACCTCAGGTCCCTGCTGATTGCTTGTTAAGGCTCATTAGGGGAACTCGGCCTCTGCTGTGGGCGCCACCATCTTGTGTTATGGAACCCTCCCACCCCCCTCCCACCTCTGCTGTGGGCGCTGCCATCTTTGTGACAGCATATTGGTCAATTTGCCTAGTCCCTCTTTATTATATAGGATAATTCCTGTCAAAATCCCAGCAAGATTTCTTGTGAACATAGACAAGCTTATTTTAAAATTTATATGGAAAGGCATAATACATAGAATAGCTAAAATACACTTGAAAAAGAAGAATAAATTGAAAAGAATCTCTCTACTTGATATTAAGGTTTACAATATAGCTACAGTAATTATGATCATGTCATATTGCTGGA